AATGTTATACAGTACTAGTCCTCCTATATGGCAGTGTATGCTCGACAATCTCCTCACATATGAAGAAGGGACTTGAAACAGCAGAAATGTGGTTATACAGAAGGATGCTGAGAATATCATGGAAGTTTTAGAGACAATGGCAACCAAAATGACATTTATGCTTAACATCAAGAAGAGACAATTGAAATTTCTGGAGCACATAATGAAGTAAGAGTGCTTTGAAAATTTGATACTCACAGAACAGATTGATTGTAAGAGAGTCAGAAAAAAAACATGCACACCCTACCTGGCGATTTTGAGCGAATGGTTGGCGATAGATAGCAAAAAGACAAAATTTATTAAGAGATACAAAGGACAGAAAATTCTGGAGAGCCATCATGGCCAACACCCTGAAGGGACACGGCACATAGAAGATCCTTGTGTGTCTGAGTGTAACATGTGTTAATCTCACAATCCAACTCCTTTCTGTGGCATTTACCAAAATAATTTAGACGTAATAATTATTTGTATTTTATCCTTGTATATCATGCGTGAGTCTCGTGGAACCATGGATCTGTAGGTTTTGAGGCGCGTGAGACCACCTCTTAATTGCTGTTGTTCCCAGGTTCACTCTGACCCGATGTGGTATCACTTGTTAAGCTCCCGGCTACGGGTAAATAGTGAACACCAAAACAAAACTCGACAGTACATTTTTATAGTAAAACTACCAACAATTCATTTCATGATCTAAAAAATATATATCTAAAAGACATATCTTCACTTTGAAAGTATAAGATTGTGTACAATTTATCTGTAGTTGAAAGCATAGAATTACGTACAAAATATTTAGATTTCGGCATTAAATAACGCATAGAAGTTGATATTCCACAAAAGAATAACCAATATGAAAGAGCTCTTTCATGGTATTAGTTTATATAATATCCTACAATTTCTTAAAGAAATCAAACTGTATTCCAAAATATAAGTTCAACAAAACTCCAACATAAAATACACATATAATCATCTCTAGTAATCATGTCTACACAAACATGTATATGCACAAAAGCGGATTATAATCTACCATGTATTCAATTGTGAAAACAGAATAACATTTTTATTACTTCAAAGCTCTTAAGAAGATTAAATTTCGGCATTAAATGACCCATAAGGATGTCGATGTACCTTTAAGCTAACAAAACAAATCAAACCATAGATCTGCAGGTGGAAAGTCTTGATTCAGTCCCGGTTGCTATGTCAGCGTCTGTTATGACTGCAAAGAGAGATATAGGCGGGAATAACATCCCCGGCTGTAACGACGACTGCAACCGATTTTGCCTTAGTGTTTATATATTTTTTTTATATCTGTAAGTGTACAGTTCCTTAACAACCAAAACTCAATGCTGCGTCTCTTCCCTTCTGCACCATTCCAGCTTCGATTATGAACCAATCGCTTACAATGTCCTACTACGTTCAGTAAGACTTTTGGGATTTTTCTGTCTGATATTACGAACCACTGCTTTGTGGAAACGACTCCCAAGAGGATCCTTCCCTGATCGCTACAATCATAATCTGTTCAAGTCTTGGATTAACTGTTATCTTCCCCACATATCCGCATAAACTGTGCCTCTTTCTCGGGAAGAGACCGTTGAAAATTCTAGGGCATATAATGTGGAAAGAGAGCTTAGAAAATTTGATATTCACAAGACAAATTTGAAGGCAAGAGGGACAGAGGAAAACGATACCTACCTGGCGAGCTTGAGTGACTGGATGGCGGAGCAGGGTTTGAGAGAGATAAGAACTACAAAGGAAATTGTGGAGAGCCATGATCGCTAACGACCTGAAGGAATACGGCGCAAAGAAGAAGAACGCCAACTGAAACTTACCCAATATGCAAAGCTATTTTGAAAATGTATGTATAATCAATACAATGCGTTTTGGGTTTCATTACTGTATACCTACTTTTGCACCCCTGTGTACAATTGGTAATTTACTAAGCGTATCTTAGATGTGGCCCAGGATCGTATGTATGAAGCACCCAGTGAGGATCAAACTCACTACTGATTTGTAATTGATCTATCTTACTAACCATTATGCCACATCGAAATTCCAAGACACACGCGCGCGCACACACACACACACACACACATATATATATATATATATACACACACACACACACATGGTCCTCGGTTTACGTTGGACCCGACGTACAGCGTTTCGTGGTTACGCCGCCATCTTAATACGTCGTCACGCGGCGCTATATGAGAAAGAAGGCGTTGTTTCTTCTCTGGCTGCACGCCAAATTGGATTGTGCTACATTCGCTATCTCCCGTTTGTGTCATATTTAAGTCGATGACTCCTATATATATATATATATATATATATATATATATATATATATATATATATAATTAAAAAAATGATTAACATGACACTTCTGTTAAGTTTTTTTTATTAGGTTTTTCTTGTTCGTGTGTATGTGTTGAAATTATCCAAATGATTGTTCACTCTGATTGCATCCTTTTTATGTATCTAAAATATTAGGTTTATTTTATTTTATTAATGTTCGCCTTAGACAAGCCCCAAGGGCCACTCAAGGTAGAGGATTACTGTGTGGAGTTATATTAGCGGAAGAAAGGGCAAGATAACAAGAAAAGAGGTCAAGATTTAATTAGCGAATAAAATACGCGCATTTTGTGTTTTTTTTTTCAACACACACAGTGCCCAGCTGTGGTTTATACTGCAACTATGCTGAGAACATCTTTGTTTCTGAGAGATAGCGTGACAAATGGTGAGATTCGAACCCGGGTCCCATAGTCAGAAAGCGAATGTTCTAACCACTCGGCCACGTGCCCATTTAATTAATAGTCTGCTAACAATTTACTGTGATGATTTTTGTGTTTGTTTTTAATCAATTAACTTCCAGCAAGATAATAATGCCACTAAGACGCAAGGGGCTACTAGGAGTGAAAGAGAATAAGTAGACTCTACTCATGCTAAAAAAAAGATCGGGGAGGAGTGTTAAATCCTATTGAGGAAAAAATAACAAATAATAAATAAAATTTCAGAGTTCAGGCGGAGACGTCAGAAGTATCAGTTGAAGTAGACTTTAGTTTGAAGAATAATTTATTTACTATTTGGGGATAATATAAATAAAATTCACTTTGTTTATAAGTGAAATTAAACGATCGTTCTTTTTTATTTTGGTCTTGAAGTTTATTGAACAACTTATTTGTTCTACGTTATTCTGTCATCATTTAGGCAATTTCATTATTCTACCCCCCCCAACCCCAATATATTTTTCGGTAAGCAACTTCTCAAGGACACATGGACCTAGTGGATAAAAGCGTTGGTTAGGCCCAGTGACTAGACCCAAAGTATTGAGTTCACTACCAGTCTACTCGTCCTGGGTAAGACGTTAAACTACATCCGCGTCCTGGGTAAGACGATAAACTACATCCAACAGCAAAGCCTCTGATCAGGAGGTTTTCAGGAGTATGGAATCACCTCTAAATTGCTGGTGTTCCCAGGTCCACCCTGACCCACGCTGACCCACCCTGACCCAGGGTAGTAGCACCTGTTAGGGTCCCAGCTATGGACAAATAGTTAACTATTACCAGCAATACTTTTTTGAAAAAAATTATCACCAGCAATACAATTTTGAAGGAAAAATATTACCAGAAACAGGTTTTTGACAAAACAAAATATTACCAGCAATAAAAAATGTTGTCGGCATTAAATAACCCACTGAGGTTGATATGCCGTAAAACAAAATAAACCAAAACAATCTAAACCAAAGAATACATATTCTATTCATACGAATCCTTAAAATGTTGTTGGCATTAAATAACCCATTGAGGTTGATATGCCGTAAAACAAAATAAACCAATCCAAACCAAACCACTACCAGGCTACAACAGCGGTGAGCCAAAACATGGAGAGTTAAGTTAAAGGGAAATAACTGTGGCACCCGGAAGATGCATGGTACGTGGAGCTATAACAATCTACTCCGGTGGACGAAATGAAGGGTTTGATTCGAAATTCCAATCATCTGAAGAAGGCCGGAGCGTACAACCGCCGAAACATTGTGAATATGACAATGAAGATGAGGATAACAGTCCGAATAATGTAAATAATTTAAGTTCTCTCGGTACCTTTTGACGTTTTCCAGGAAATTAAAATACTTTGATAAATACAATTTTATAAAAACTAGAACAAATGGTAATCTGATCAGATATTTTAACACGAGTATATAGCTGCTGTCACACTGCAATCATCAACAATCTTTTTGGAAGAGGTTTTAAAACTAAACGCTCCTCATGCTATCTGTCATGAAAACAAACTTTTAAGGCTACCCAATGATATAAAGGCATATATATTGAAGTACATTTAACATTAGGCAGTAAATTTTTAAATATTTATATTCATATAAAAAGTATTTTTCTACATTTTTTTTTTAGGCCGGGGTTATGAGTTTTTGAATATCTATAAGAAAATAATTTTAAGCTGATAAAAAGGAAAAAGAAAAGAAATTGTCGTTTTTCATGAATCTGAACCCCTGTGGCCTCCTGATTTTTATGATATTGTATTTATTGACGATAATTATTGATACAATGGAAGAGGAAGATGATAATCAGAAAGGAAATGAGATAGAAATAGCTAAGTGAAGGAAGGAAAAATTTAAAGAGAAGAAAGGAAAAAACAAACAAAAAAAAGAATCTCGATAAAGAAAAATGAACACCAGGAAGAAAAATGAAAGAAAGACAAAAGAAGAGAGAAAAAAAGAGAAAAAAATTATGAATTAAAAAATAAATAGGCAGATATCAATAAATTGAAATCGGCATGAACAGACTTAGATAATGAATAGATTTGGGTAGATATATATATATATATAGATAATGAATGGATTGGGGTTAGATATATAGATAGATAATGGACAGATTGGGGTAGACAGATAATAAACAATTAGTTATATAGGGAGATATGGACAATTATTGATAGGTAACAATCGATAAATATGCTTAAGAAGAGAAATGATGATTGACTCGTGGAAAAAAATAGAAGCAAGTCGAAGAAAGAAAAACGTAAAATGACAGAAATTGCCAGTAAGAGAGATGAGTGTAAAAAAGGAGAGTGGCAGAAAAAAAAAATGACAAGGAGAAAAAGTGGAAGCATTTAGAAAAAAAAATATTAATATTTGAGGAAGAAAAAAGGGAGAGCAGAAAAATTAGACACATACAAGAAAGGAAGAAGAGGAAGATAGATACAGATAGAAAGTAGTCAAGGGAGAGGGGAGGGGGGAGATAGGAAAAGAGTAGAAAACGTAAAAAGAAAGAGGAGGAATGAGAAAGAAAAAAAGAAATACTTGAAAAACTAAATGTGAGAAGAGAAATGAAAAAAAAAAAAGAACAAAAACAAGATTCAGCTTACTGTGTTGTTTACCAATCAGACACATCTCCAAGGGACGTGGTCTGCGGAATTGGTTCTGACTTTGAGGAATTTTATTCCTGATGTGAAGTCTTTTATTTAATTATATATATATTTTTTTAATTTTGATTTTTTGAAGGAGGGTTTGTTGTGGAGAAAGTGAGGGAGAAATTAGTTTTTTTTTTTCTCGTTTGATTTTTCAAATGAAATTTTACCTATTTATCGTATGCCGTCTCTGTTCAATCACCATCCGCGCCCATTACACCGCTACGCTACTCTAGTGTCCTCCCCTGGGTGTTTATGATTTCTTCACCTCCCAATTCCCTGCTTCTGTGTGTTTATCATTGCGTATCCCAACCTGGTTTTGATGTCATCGAATGAACAGATGTTTGTAAATTTAAAGTTGAAAAAAAAATAAAAAAATAAAAAGTTTGCAAGAAAGAAATCATACGGAAAAGAAAGAAAGAAAGAAAGAAAGAAATCATACGGGAAAGAAAGAAAGAAAGAAAGAAATCATATGGGAAAGAAAGAAAGAAAGAAATCATACGGGAAAGAAAGAAATCATACGGGAAAGAAAGAAAGAAATCATACGGGAAAGAAAGAAAGAAAGAAAGAAATCATACGGAAAAGAAAGAAAGAAAGAAATCATATGGGAAAGAAAGAAAGAAAGAAATCATATGGGAAAGAAAGAAAGAAAGAAAGAAATCATATGGGAAAGAAAGAAAGAAAGAAATCATATGGGAAAGAAAGAAAGAAATCATACGGGAAAGAAAGAAAGAAATCATACGGGAAAGAAAGAAAGAAATCATACGGGAAAGAAAGAAAGAAATCATACGGGAAAGAAAGAAAGAAATCATACGGGAAAGAAAGAAAGAAATCATACGGGAAAGAAAGAAAGAAATCATACGGGAAAGAAAGAAAGAAATCATACGGGAAAGAAAGAAAGAAAGAAAGAAAGAAATCATACGGAAAAGAAAGAAAGAAATCTTACGGAAAAGAAAGAAAGAAAGAAATCTTACGGAAAAGAAAGAAAGAAAGAAATCTTACGGAAAAGAAAGAAAGAAAGAAATCTTACGGAAAAGAAAGAAAGAAAGAAATCTTACGGAAAAGAAAGAAAGAAAGAAATCTTACGGAAAAGAAAGAAAAAAAAGAAATCTTACGGAAAAAGAAAGAAAGAAAGAAATCTTTACGGAAAAGAAAAAAAAAGAAAGAAAGAAAGAAATCATACGCAAAAGAAAAAAGAAAGAAATCATACGGAAAAGAAAGAAAGAAAGAAAGAAAGAAATCATACGGAAAAGAAAGAAAGAAGGATATCATACGCGAAAGAAAGAAAGAAAGAAAGAAATCATACGGAAAAGAACGAGAGAAAGAAAGAGGGTAGAAAAGAAATAAAAAAGTAAAATCGAAAGAAAACGTGAAAAAGAAAGAAAAAAGGATCAAAATAGGTGAAAAAGAAAGAAACGAGGCTCGCGATAAAGGAAGAGAAATAAAGAATGTACGAAAGAAAGTGCGCGGTAAAGAAAGAAAGAAAAACTCCAAATTGGACCTCCATTCAAGAAAACTTTCGTTAAATAATTCGTTGGATTGAAAATCAAACAAGTGTGGATATTTAAATATCCGGGAAGTGTTTTTTTAACAGAGTACTGAAAGTGTGATACTGAAATCTAAAGGCGTATTGGGCTAGCCAAGGAAGCATTCCAAAAGCTAAGTAAAGTATTAAGAAACAGAAAAACTTCGATAGAAACAAGGAAAAGAGTACTAAACTCTGACGAGATATCTGTCCTCTTGTATGGCAGTGCGTGCTGGACAATGAGATATGGAGAAACAGAAATGTGGTTCTGCAGGAGGATGCTGAGGATACCGTGGACTGAACATGTGAGCAACGACAAAGTTTGGGAGAAAATGGAACCAAAAAGGAAACTTGTACTTAAGATCAGTTGAGGTTTCTGGGCCACATAATGAGAAAGGACGGCTTGGAAAATTTGATACTCACACGACAGGGGCAAGAGGAACAGAGGAAAATAATGCATATCATACTTAGTGAGCTTGAGTAAATGGATGGCGGAACAGGGTTTCAGAGAAATAAAAGAAAAGCAAAGTTTATTAAGAGCTTCAAGAGACAGGAAGAAGATCGCCTACGTCCTGAAGGGACACGGCACATGAACTAGATGAGTTGATAAAATCGCTATTATCAGTTCGACCGTTTAAATATTGTATTCAATGAAAAGGTGTACTATTTGATCAGTCGCAAAGCATAGCATGTGTGACAATGCATGACCCAAGACGGCAAAGGTCACATCTGAAAACACTTTGTATGCGTTGTTATTACTCTAGCTGATTTTGTTCAGCAGGTCAGTGTTGTCATAATGAAATTGGCGTTAACTGGCCAGTGTTGACATTTTCCGGATATATTTATATTTATTTGAGCAATATACCTTGTGAGTTTCAGCTTATTCTTATTAAAAAAATATATTAAATTCTTTGATGGCTGAAAGACTGCATTATGACAAATAAAACTTATTTTTTTATTTATGAATACATTCAAAAGATTTTAGCTCCATCAACATATATTCGATTAATACAAATAATGAAGAAATTATTATTTTACTTCTTAATATGTGCTCTTTGACATTCTATAACCTTCATCAATCTTTTATTAATTGATTTTGTTAACTTTTCTACTCTTTCAATGACCTGTGTAAATTATGATTTTACAACTGAATATTGTCTACTTGGCATTCTATAACCTTCAGTCTTTTAACAATTTTGTCAACCTTTCTACTCTTTCAATGATTCGAATAAATTATTATATAACATGTTAATATAATCTCCTTGACATTCTATAATCTTCATCAGTATTTTAACAATAGATTTTGTTAACTTTACTATAGTCTTTCAGTGACCTGAATAAATGATTAATTTACATGTTAATAATGTCTCCATGACATTCTATAAATTTCATCAGTATTTTATCGTGTCTGGCGTGCCGGGTCCCAGTTGAAAAGGCCAGGCCTGGTGTGGCCACGGTATGTAGCGCATCAGAACACATGCCATTGAAATAGCGATAGAATAGCGAGTGGCTCGCGACGTTTCGTCTGTGAGAAGAGGTCTTGAGATGGAAAATAATCCATCATTCACAAGGCCGCGTAAACGTTTTCACGATAGACAAGTGAGGAGTGAGCAGTTCCAACACAGATACAGTAGAAATACTCTTCTTTTTTTTTTTTTTAATTTAGTCTGGCTTTTGTAAAGGTAGAGTATAGCATCGGGTTTCAGATACTTACTGTAGCAGTGCAATGAACCAATTATTTTGACAGTATCTTTAGCCATAGATCGTATATATGAGTTTCACTTGAGGTCTGTGGAGAGTTTGAGTCACAAAGTCACAATAGGTATTCAAGGCAAGTGGCCTCATTTAGAGAAACCAGTCAATCATGATAGGTGAAAGTTCAAATTCTGCACGGTGGTGGAACGTTTTGGCCGTATTGAATTTTAGAAGACACTCCTTAACCCATTTAGTCACCTGGTGTGGGTCAGAGGAGAAACGAGCTGCTCAGTTCTTGTCATCCAAAGCTTTGGAGGTGCACCTATAAACTGTTGTATCATTTGAATAGTCATCTTTGCCGAAGGAGTATTCTTGCATGAACATACTCTTTGCCATAAAATTTCTTGTTTGCTCCCTGCACTCCTTAAACAAAACGTCTTGTTCAAAAACTTATAGTAATTATTTTGAAACCATCACCAAATTTGTAAAGACTTATATATTTTATGGCCTACAATACAAACTTAAAATATTTTCCTCTCTCATGCGACATTATCTATAAATTATATTGATAAAAAACAACCTTGACTCCAGCCATTATGTCCATCCAATGTAGCTCTACATTCATCATTAAAAATTACTGTTTAGAATAGAGTTTTTATATACTTTCATTTCCAACTTACTTGTTTCTCTTTGTGATACTTTAATGTGACAGCTTGGTAGTTTTTATATTTTCAGTTAATGTTTTTTTTTTATATTCTGCATCATTTTTTCTCTGTTTATACTTACAACATCAGCTTCTTCAAATATTTTCTTGCTTGTCAATGCACTTGTGTTATTTATTACCTTTTACATTTTTTCAGCACTTTTCTTAAGGCTGTTTTTGCTTGGTCTTATCTTTTCATTTTCAATTTAATTTCTTGTGTGATCTTTCTTAAAATTTCAGTTTCCACCACTCAATTTTTACAATATTTTATTTCCCTTTGTTGAGATATGTTTTGTACAACCTATAGAAAATTTTATATATCTTTATATATATATATATATATATATATATATATAGTTTTATATTTATATTTATGGATAAATGTTTCAATATATTTATGGTATGTAAATGTACAAGTGAATACCGTGGTCAACTCCGAGCGGCGATAGTCTGCTTCTCGCATGAAGTCTAGATTAAATTTTTCAATGTCCCTGATAGTGTATAAAGTGCTCTACTATTTATCAGGAGCTAAATATGATAAAAATATAGTTTATATTTATGGGGAAAATATTCAGTTAAAAATAAATAGTAGAGCCAAAACACAACACACATTGCCTGAAGATTGCGTTCACTAATAAAACAGACACGCCGCTCGATACTGACTTCAGTGAAGCTTATATATAAGGGGTCAAACTGTGTGTATGTGTTTTTTATATTAAACCCACTTCAATATACGTTCCTCAATGGAGAAAGTCACATTATTTAATGTTGCTACTTCTCTTTTATTACAACAGCCTCCACAATTTGAAGACTTTGCTTGCGTGTCCTGTATAAAATTTTAGTGTTACCTACTAAAATTTGTCTAATATTATTTTGCTTACTTGTCAACATTTATTCACCACTTCCCTCCATGTCACAAATGTGATTCATTGGTGATATTCAAGGAAGAATAGTGCAGTGATTTACCGGGTCCTTTTGCAATTAAAATTATATAATTGCGAATATATGTACTTATTCGTTATATGTTCATCTATATGTGAGCGAATTGCACTCAATTTTGACTTGAAATTGGTTTCATCAAACATGAGAATGTCGGAACTAAAAACTAGTTGCATAACTACGCACACAACAGTCTTTGAATGTAGCAACATTCGAAAGTACTTGTGAGAAAAAATATTATGAAATAAAAGTTAATATGAATTTTGGCAAATTTTACGATAATACAAAACAACTTATTCAGAAATTTGAATTATTTAACAAAACACACACACACACACACACACACACACATATATATACGAGAGAGTTATCTCTAATACATGTTTTATTAAAACTAACAAGTTATTTCTGCTCTATATGTATGGTGTTGAGGTAATTTAGACACTATTTATTAGAGCAGAACCAAATTCTTTGAAAATGGTTAATAGATTGGCAGAAAGCGCTCAGCGTAAACAATCATTTGAATAATTTCGACACAGACACTATGTCCAAAAAAGAAATGTCTTGTTCGCACACAAGTAAAACCTAATAAGAAACTGAAGAAAAGTGACAGGATATTTATAATGATATATAATATC